TAAAGTAAATTTACTTTAAAGTTAATCCCCTTCACGGATCACTGCCTTGTCGTAGCGAAGGGGCTTGCGTAACTCAGTGAAGCCATGAGCTATACCGTGCAGGGCCACCCAAGACGGACAGGTCATGACAGAGAGTTCTGACAAAATGTGGTCCACTGGAGAAGGAAATGGCAACCCTCTCCAGTATCCTTGCCAAGAAAACCTCATGGACAATGTTAGAAGGCTAAAAGCCGAAAACTCTTATGCAGCAGCTAGCCAAATTTGACTGGAGAAGGAAATGGCAACCCTCTCCAGTATCCTTGCCAAGAAAACCTCATGGACAATGTTAGAAGGCTAAAAGCCGAAAACCCTTATGCAGCAGCTAGCCAAATTTGTCTGGATTTGGAAGCTAAACTGGGCTGGACTTGGTTAGTGCTTGGATGAGGAATCAAGCCCAGAACTGTTATCTGGACTGGAAAAAGGCAATGGCACATCACTTCAGTGACATTGTTAAGAAAACAGCATGGATACAATCACCAGGAGCTGAGCTCAACGCTGGATATCCTTGCTGTGCTTTACTTTCTTAATAAGGAAAGAGACTCTCTTGTCTCAATGTTAATATTCTCCCCAAGGCAACTCTTTAGAGGAGGATGTAGCTCCCTGATACAGATGTAAAGCCTCCTTTGAATTTAGGTGGATTCCTGCTGGCTCCATTGATAAGACTATGGGGGGGGGGGGGGTGGTTACCCATGGCGTGGAAGTGGATTTCTGTCAATTTCCTCTAGGTGTGTTTTTTTTTTTTTTTTTTTTTTTTTTTTTTTTTTTTTTTTTTTTTTTTTTTTTTTTTTTTTTTTTTTTTTTTTTTTTTTTTTTTTTTTTTTTTTTTTTTTTTTTTTTTTTTTTTTTTTTTTTTTTTTTTTTTTTTTTTTTTTTGGCAACTTCTCAGTCAAGCCAACAATTCTGGAATTTTCAATCTCCTATCCAAGTACTAACCAGGGACAACCCTGCTGCTTAGCTTCCAAACATGGACAAGTCAGCCACCCTAACATAAAGCAGCAAGTTAACCCTGGAAATTCTGGAAGTGAAGAAAGTTTATGCTTTCTTTTGGCACAGCTCTTCAGAACTGCTCCACAAAGAATCCAAAGAGCTTCTCCTCTGCAACTGAATCATGAGATGATCCATTCCATTGCCCAGCTCTTGTGAATACAGAGAGCAGAGGCTCTGGCTTGAGCTTCAGGAAGGAAGGAAGTTGTCCAGTAGTCCTTGGAAATACTGCAACTCTGGATTTCCTGTAAAGTCATGGTGAGGGTAGAGAATAGAATGAGTTAGTCCATTAGAATGTTTATATTAATTTTTTACCTACTAGTCATGCAAAAGAATATGTGTAGATATGACATGTTCCCCTGAAGAATGGGCGCCCTGGGAATAACACCCATAAATGACATGAAAGTAACACCAGAAAAGAGATACACTTTTCACTCAACAGGCTTATAATTTAAGATGTGATCTGAAGAAAATATTATTGAGTGATGGAGGACAATTAACAGGAAGTTCCTGAGTGTTCAATTAGTGAATCTGTGTGAAGTGACTCTACTCCACTCTGTGCCATTGCCTGAATCAGGACTGTTGCCATGATTCAATCTGAAGCCCTCTCCTCAGAAAATCTACCTCCACCCTTTGATTCAAAGTAGGATAACTCAACGTGGCTGGCTATTCCCATCTGGTGGAATGAAGTCTCATTCTCTGCATATAAGCCCCCTCTGGTATCTGGATGAAAGTGGGGCAGTTGTTCTCATCTGGCACTTCAGAGGAGTGCTGCTTTGATTAGCTGGTTTCCTTCAAAGAGGTACTTTGATTGAAGCTTTGTTGCATTGAAGTGCACCTTCAAAGTGCAACATAACCTCATCAGTTTAGTTTACTTGTGAATAATTTTAATAGGGGTTGAAAACCTAGGCATTGTGCCAAGGCTTTCAGGGACAGTCTGGACTGAGAGGAGGAAGTAGATGGGGAAGAAAGGGAACTGATACAGATGTACATACACAAGCAAAAGACAAGCATTTAGTGATTGTTAAGTTTCTAATGTGGTTGGAGGAAAGAAATCATGATCGAGGGAATTTGTTTCCCTATTTCTTCAAGTCTGCCTGGGGCAACATTTCTCTTAGTTCATTGTAGCAAGAAAGTAAAGAGGGGATCTGCTAAGGGAGACCAATGAGGATTGTGGAACTGGAGGACTGAAGGACACATCACCAGCTTGCACCACCTCTTTTTGTATCAAAAATCACTGCCTGAATGTTTTCCTGCCCACGGCCTGCCAAAGGCTCTTTGTTTTCCACATCCATTTGGAAAATGTTTTGAATGATCACTTGTCTTTCTGCTTTCTCTGGAGTGATACACACACACACACACACACACAAGATCCAGGCTAGCGCCAATTACAGAATGTCCTTATAGGTTCTAATGGTACTTATC